TCTCAGGTACTCTGTTATAGCGACACAAAACAGACTAAAACATGAAATTGATAACATAAGTGAGGTTTTGCCATAACAAATACCTGGAAATATAGAAGGGCTTTGGAAGTGGGTAATAGGTAGAGGCTGGGAAAATTTGGAGGAATAGGCTAAACAAAGCCTAGATTGCTGTGAGCAAATCTGGGAATATTAATGGAAATTCTGGTGAGGGCTCAGAAGAAGATAAGAGTGCTAGGAAAAGTCCTAATCTTCCTAGAGATTACTTAAGTGGTCATGACCAGAATGTTGGTAGGAAATATGTTGGATGGTAAAGACCATTTGGATAAGGTCTCAGATGGAAATGAGGAGAAGGTGTTGGAAACTCTAGTAAAGGCCAGCTTCCTTATAAAGCAGCAAAGAAACTGGCTGAATTATGGCCATGCTCTAGGGCTCTATAGAAAGTGAAATTTAAAAACAATAAACTAAGTGATAGAACAGAAGAAATATCTCAGTAGCAAAGCATTAAATGTGCCACATGGCATGTTTTGGCTCTTTACAGTAAAATGAAGGGAAAAAATGTTTTAAAGATGGAATTTTTAATTAAAAGAGAAGCAGAACAGAAAGATCAGGATAATTAGCAGCCTGGCTATGTAAAAAAATAGAAAAGGTGTTGTTAAGAGAGGAAAGCAAGGATGCAGCCATTTGATAAAGAGATTAGTATGGATAGAAGCCAGGTGCTATTCATCAAGACAATGGGAGACTGACCCCTAGGCATTTCAGGCTGCCCCATTTATCACAAGTCCAGAGTGCTAGGGTCTTCAGGGGAGAATACTTTTGGAGGATGGGCTTGTAGGGCCCCTCCACAGCTTGCTGTCCTGTGCTGCCTTGGGACTCTGCTACCTAAATTCCACTGTAGTGCTCCTCAGTCACCCCGGGTGTGGCTCAGCAGCCCAGGTACAGCTTAGGCTGCTGCTCTGGAAGGTACAAGCAGCAGATCTTGGTGGTGTCCACATGGTGCTGACTCTGAAGACATGTAGAATGCAAGAGTGGTGGGGTCATGGTAGCCTCTACCTAGATTTCAAAGGATGTTGCAGGCAATCTGGAAGCCTAGGCAGAAAATTGTCACAGGAACAAAGCCACTGCAGGGAGTTAACTGCTACAACAATGCCTCGTAGACCCGTGAGAGTGAGGCCACCACAGAGAGTTCCCACAAGGGCAATGTCTAGTGTGGCTATGGAAGTAGGACTATCCCTGAAACTCTACAACTGTAGAACTATAGAGCTACTAGCATGCAACTCCAACTTGAGAAATCTGCAGGCACTCGACTCCAATCCATGAGAGCTGCTGGGTGGAGGGAATCAGTCTGGCAAAGCCACAGGGGAGGGACTTCTTGAGGCCCTGGGGTCCCAACCCCCACCCCAGTGTGCCCAGGATGCAGGACATGAAGTCAAATGAGATGATTTTCTGGCTTTAAGACCTAATATTGTTTTCCCCATTGGGTTTTGGACTTACTTGGGACTAGTTACTCTTGTCTTGCCTATTTCTTCCTTTTCAAATGGGAATATTTATTTTATGCTGTCCCATGTGTTTTGGAAGTAGTTACTTGTTGAGATTTCACTGGTTCACAGCTGGAAGGAAATCTGCCTCAGGATGAATCCTGCCTTGAGTCTCACTCATATAAAACTTAGATAAGACTCTGGACTTTAGACTTTGGAGTTGGTGCTGGAAAGAGTTAAGACTTTGGGGTTACTGGGGTGGAATAAAGATATTTTGCAAGGGAGAAGGACACAAATTTGTGGGGCCAGGTGTGAAATGATATGTTTTAAAAATCCAAAGTTCATGTGTTGAAAACTTGGTCCTTAATGCAACCATGCTGAAAGGTAGGATATTTGAGGAATGACTGGATCATGAAAGCTTTGCCCTTGTCAATGGATTGAAGTTGTAAAAATAGTTTTAAAAGTCAAAAAATGCAAATGAAACCATAAGACAAAGAAATGTTGAGAAAATTTCAGGAGGGAAGGATAAATTTGTCAGAAGGCAAAAATATAAATCACTGCAGTTAAGCAGAGCTTCTTAGCAATGAGGGTTATATCTTTTCCTTTTCTGTGTATTGCATAGAGGTTCATATGTAAAAAAAGGGACACCCCATTCCTGCCAACATTATATCTGTAAAAGAACGTTTCATGTGAGACCTATGTAAGTGACAATGAGTAACATAGAAGATAATGTAATTTATTGCACTGATATTTTGTCACTGGAACTAAGGTCTGACTTGGAATTTTGCCCAGTATGTTTATATAGCCATTTTACCTTTGTTTGAGAATGTAGGCAGCAAATATAATTATTCATATTGTCAAATTGTTTCTTTAAATAGTATTCTAGGGGAATGATGGAAATAGAAAACCATTATTTGGCAAGCACTACAGTAATAACTGTAATAGATAAGAATCTTTATTGTTCCTAAAATTTGTGGGGAAAATTATGACAAGTAATAGAATATTTACCATCCTAGTGTTAGGTAGATAGTGAGGGACCTGGGCTCTCCTAGGTGCTGCCCCACCTTGATCCTGCCCTGAGCAATTACCACACCTGGAGGAAGGAGGAATGCCCTGTTAATCTGCAAAAGTATGGAGGGAATTCCCCAGCCTGAGGGCCAGAGAGCCCAGGCACAATAGAGTCTAGGAAAAAACCAAGAGTAACTTAAGGCTAATTATTATCATGTCATTAACTGTCCATCAAAGTGGTTCAATGGTAACACTTGAACCAGGAGGAGGCCCCAATCCAGACATCACAAAACAGGACCCCAGAACATAACCAGGGTTTCTTGTTATAACAGGAGGCCCATTCAACATCTGTGGGGAATGTATCTTGCTCTTGCTCTGTAAACCTATCTTGTTCTTCCTCAATAAACTTCCTTTTGTGCTGGCTCTGCTATTAGTGTGTTTGGTCATTCTTCGGCCAAAAAACATCAAGAACAGAGAACAGACTGCAAATCGTACAATAGTACCTCCCCACAAGATACTAATTAATTACAAAGGAAAAACAATAATTCTACAATGGAGAAAACTGGCAAACACAACCATAACCTTGGGATCAAGGTTAGCACCATGAGAAATGAGACATATCAACCTACATACCTCCTAATATGCAAGGAGAAGAACACAACTCTTCTGTAATATTCTTTCCAAAAATGTATAACCACAATCTAATCATTAGAAAGCATTAGGCTAGCTCAATTGAGGGACATTCTGCAAAATAACAGACTGAGGAACTGTTTCAGATTGGGGCAGATTAAGGAAATAAGGCAACTAAATGCAGTATGGAATTCTGGATTGGATCCTGGACCAGAAAAATAGCGAGAGTTACTGAACAAATTTGAATAATGCCTATAATTAGCTAATAGCATTGTATCAATGTTAATTTGATGGCTTTGATAATTGTACTATGGTTATGTAAGAAGTTAATATTAGAAGTTAATAGCCTCTAATATTAATAAAGGTATACAGATTCCATATATATGCTATACTTGCAACTATTTTGTAAGTTTAAATTATTTCAAAATAAAAAGTAAAAGAAAAAAAGCATTTTGAGATTGCTTAAAAGAGCAATCTCAATGTTGGTCAGAGAAAGACTCTGACCAACATTTACTAGATATGACTGAATTCAGCATTTATTAAAAGACCTGAGCTGAGAAAATGTTAAAGCTGAATGTTCCCATCTGGACAACTTACCAATTTAAGCAGAAAACTCATAAAGTATCTGCTTTTGGTAGCATCGCAGCTCATTGACCTGCCACAAAGAGTTAGCTGCCAAATGCAGCCTCCTGAAGCTGAGGAATGACAACCCAGGACAGTGAAAGCATTTGCAAATCAGAGAGGTGGATTGGTGTTTTCAACAATGGGTAGGAAGTGTAGACAGATAACTACTAATTCTAATTTCAAAATTGGAATGACAAGATAAGTGACTGTACACCATACAGATCAGTGAAGTCCCAGAAAAAAATTTACACAGATTATTAAAACAGCACTTTGGTGTGTGTAAAAGACAAAGCGATAATCAGTAGACTCAACAAAGTTCATGAGTTATAAATCATCTTTGACTCAATTTTCTTCTTATTAATATATAGAGAGAATGGACAGATGGGCTTGAGTAAGATAACTAGTAAATTCTTTTGTGATATTTTGGAGGCATAAAGGAAAAATATTGGCAGAACACATGAATAATTACTTAATTTTTGGGGGGAGGTTAGTTTAATTACTGACTGAAGTGTCATGGTTAATGGGTTAGTATCACCCTGGAAGACATTTCAAAGGACTTTTTCCTCAGCCAAGTTGTATAAACAGAAAATTCATCAATGACGTATTGGACAGAAATTCAATGATGCAGTGAACACCTGCCAAAATCACAAAATCTCTCTGCCACACGATTCTCAGTCTCATGAACACAACTTACTGGGAGAGAAAGGGTGTGTGATGCTAAGATAGCCACCTCTATGCTGCCAGTGAGTGGCCAAAGCAATGAGGTTCCTTTTCCTAGAGAACTGGGATATGTGATCATGCTAAGTCGACTTTTCTCTAGCATCTCCTCTTACTACTTTACTCACCTAGCTTGACCATGTGTACCCCTAGACTTTGAAATTAAATTTATTATAGCTGCCCCGAAGCAGCAGACATTTCATGCTCCTGGGTATTTGTACATGTTTTGATCTGTGTAGACAGCCTGCCCCTCATAGTATTAATTTATCTTATCAGTCAATCAATAACCCCACATAAAATGTTTGCTATCTGTACATGATACTGTAATTTATTGAGATAAAAATCTATCATAAATTTTTTTAAACGTTTTATTCCAACAAATTGGTATTCTGTAATTTTGAGAACATAACAAAAAACCACCTTTTAAAATATGGAGTAGTAAGCATTATTTGACTTTAATACCATTTGATTAATTTAGGGAGCATGTACTTATAAATTACAATCTTGTAATGCTTCCAGAATAATAAAGGTGAAAAACAAACTTACCAGCACTTGGGTAACCAGGCGTAGAAGGATCTCCTCCTGGATTCAGTGACACCATGAAGGCATCATGGCTAGGATTTGCAGTCTTTGGTAAATCACAAGGATCAATATATAGAAGGACTCCTCCAAATCCAGCCTTTTCCAATAAGGAAAGCTAAGAGAGGGGAACAAACAATCTATTAAAAATATTATCATACACATTAAAAGTTCATATACTGCTATTTTATGAATGTGGCTGTGATAGGATGGCTTTTTCTTTCTTTTCAAATAAGAAAACACTTCAGATTTTCTAATTATCAAGTTTAGTCAAAGGGTTTTCCTACTTGCCTCTACCCTTTTTTCCTCTATCTCCACCATATTTAAGCAGCATTGCTATAATGTTTATATTTGATTTCAGTTGTCTGTTCATGGAATTTTTCACTCCATTTTTTAATTGTCTAAGTAGATTTAAAGTTTCTACTTTTTGAAATTAACAGAGGATCTACCACACACAAGGCTCTGCTTTTAAAAGGAGAGATTTTCTGACCAATATTATGTCCTTCCTTATAGCAGAAATCACCTACAGTATTGTGATATACTAATATTTCCTCCAGGGCTGAGCCTGTCATACTAGTCGTTAAAATTTTGAAAGACTTTCACACTGCTCGGAAAATAGCCACTGTCCTGAACCTCCCGGGGGTCCTCAGTACACTAGTCATCTTCATCTCTGCCTGGGATGCCCCAGCCAGATCTTCCAGATACAGCAACTGAAGGGGTTACATTACACATAACCCAAAGGCCTCCTTCTGAATGATGAGCCCTCACTGTGTCCTTGTCATTAAATGTTCTGAAACTAGCCCCTGTTTACCTCATTTGAAACATAGCTAATGTAAAGATTCCTTTCTGTTCTTTAGTAAAGACACAATAGATAAATATGATGGGGGCAGATGAACTAGACAACATACCAAGTTTCTAACCTTTTAGATATATGTATGTATGTGTGTGTATATATATATATTTTTTTTTTGATAAAGAGCTTAGTGTGAATTACCTGATATGAGAAATAATAATAATGATTTGCTAATTCTGTTTCCAATGAGAGTAATTAGGGAAGATTGAGAGAAAAAAGGAGAACATGACTAAAGGTGGTAATGATATAGCTAGTTACTGCTCATTGTGTGACTCTAGCTAACCCCTATATTTCACTTCCCAGTTGTTTCTGTGTTCTTTATTGAGATTTGCAGTCTAAGCAAGGCAGCAGCATGTGTCCCTGGCTACACCACCTCATGAGGGCTGGGGTCACACTTATCTTCTCTGTTATTGTACACCTTGTACTTAGCAGGCATAGAGTAGGCATTTGAAAGTATTACTAAGTGAGAGAATGAATCAGAAAGATGCAAACTAGGAACAATAGCTATTCTTAAAGAAAAGAGAGCCCTCAGAAAATAGGATGTACTTCTATTAGAAAAAATAAAACATATAAATGTACATATAGCATGATTTTAACTGTATAAAGAAAACTGCGCAAACATAAAAACTGATACAGAATTTACACCACATTAATGGCACTTTTCCTACTTCTTTAAAAATGCTCTGTACGTTCTAATTTTTGGTGTAATAAACAGCATGTATTATCTTTATTAAAAAAACTGACATTGAGAACCTAAGGATAGCAGAATTCACTCACATATCCTTTCTGTATCAAAACACGCAGATCAGAATCGTCATTATTTTCCCTTCAGTGTTTTAATGGAAAGAAGGGAAGAATTTAAGGAAAGAGGGAGAATGAGAAAAGTGAAAAAGAGCAAAGAATGTGTGAATAAGATTGCCAGAGTTAAGGCTAACTCTTCAAATCCTCACCACTGAAGTCCCTAGGAAGTGTTTCTAATGTTTGCATCCTGCAATAGCAATTCTTAAAAATAATGATCAGTGGAATAATTTTAAATATTCTGTGTACTATAAAAGAATATATTAAGAATAAGTACAAACTTCTTTAGGCACTAATGTTTTAAATATTAAAAATTACTTTTTTATTTATTACTAAAGCATTTCACAATCATTAGAGGGGAAAAAGCACAACCAAAGGAATAAAAAAAAGTCCATTATCGTATCAATCAAGAAATAGTTAATGTTAACATGTTGAGATATTCAGACACTTTTACTAGGGCTTATGCACATACATTTACAAAATAAGACCATACCATAAATGCCATTTTACAATCACTTTTCATTCACTTAATGGTGCATGATAAACTTTTGTGCATGTTGATAAGTACACTTCTTTGTCATTTTAGTAGCTATATAGTGTTACATTTACATGATATGAGTAATGCTAGAGAGAGACCATAAATGTTATTTAACCAATAGCTGTTGGTCATATAAATTATTTTGAATTTTTAAAAATATTATATTGGAAAAAACTTCCTTATAGCTAAATTCGCACATAAATACCTATTTTCATGAACTGTATTTCCACAGGTAGAATTTCCAGATCAAAGTATTCCTTTTTTTATGTTTTTTTGGTAAGCTGTTTTCCCTCCAGAGAAGCTAATGAACCAGTTATATTCTTATCAGATATATATGCAAATATTTATTTCCCTTCACTCTTAACATGGATCATTAATTTTTAAAATATATTTACTAATATAGCCAAAAATATTTGTCAAAATAAATATTTGAATTACAAGTCAAATTAAACCTCTTTCTGCATGATTTTGGCCACTTGCATATTTTCCTTTGAGAATTACCTGCTTGTTAAAAGTTATTTTGAAGATTCCTGGGCTACTTGTCCATTAATAATTTTATATTGGGTGCCACTTTATGCAGGTAAAATGCTGGCGTTAGGAAATAGAGATAAGTATGAGAAGGTCTCTGCTCTCAGGAAGTTCAATTTACAAGTGGAATGACCAAACATTTTCATTTTGAGTGCTAACTCCAATTAAATAGCAAAGAATGCCTGCCTAGAGTAGAACTGTAAGTCCAGGTTCAAGATCGCTGCAAAAGTGATTCTATGAGTGATATCTGCCATGACCACAAGGAAAGGAAGTGGTGATGCACATGTCTTCGTCTTTTCCTTTCTTCTTTCTAATTTTATTTGCTGACCCTGCTTTAGTGGGACAGTCAAAATATCCTCAAAAATCCCTTCTAAAAAGGTCAGTACAATAATTATTTGGCTGTTTAATGTTCATGAAGTCTAGTATTTTAGATTTATCTTAGTCAAAAATAATACACTGGAGCTACCATATTGTAGCATGTACTCTTTTCTTAGTATATTCAGTAATATGCTTATAATCAATATATAACATGATATTTTTCCATAGCTGATGACCTATAAATGAAGCCATGGGGTTTGATTGTGTACTGCTTTTGGCTAGAGTTGATTACTTCCCCACAGCCCTGAAGGGATAGGTCAACATGCAGTTTGGCTCCCTCCTCTATCTTCTGCCTACAATGGGTGTACCTGAGGTGGACACCTGGTGCCATCTGTTGCTAACCATCGAGCTCTTAATTTGATAGCTTGAATCAATAACTCTTTAACTTTAGAAATTATTACTGGATTTCCAGTGAAGTTAGCAGGAGAGGACACTGACCTGACTATATTAAATATTAAATGAAAAAATGTTCCTCAGCATTGTTAACACTGCATTTTGAACATTGCTAAGGTTGAGTTTGGTTAAAATGTTCAAGAGATCTCCTACTCTGGTAAGATTGTTCCTTTCAAAATGCATTCAAGTGCAAGCCAATGCAAAAGGAATGAAGCCCACAGTCATTGAGCTGTTTGCTTTTTCTGGTGGCACAGGTGAGATTGGTGAGCCCTGCCCAGCACCTCTCACAAACTGAGATAGCACAAAACCCAGGGTGCTGATTACACTGGGGGTATAATTCCTGAAAAGCGGGGTCAAATCATAAGCCAAGATTTCCTGACCTTGCACTTTGACCATTGCTTACTTATCTCTCTTAAATATATATGTGACATACTTGGGGTTCTTTGCCATGCTCGACTTTGTAACCATCTTGCTCAGAAGGTAGAAACTATGAACCTTCTAAAGAAAACTGGTGACAAAAAGCAGCAGGCAGAGAAAACAGAGATGACAATGGGCAAGAGAGGAATATCACGCACAGACTTCAGGTCCAGTTATACTTGTTTCACTTGGACTGGGTAAGATTTTCCTCTTTTTGTTGGAGAGGACTTCTGTTACTTGCAAATGTATCAGTCATAACCAAGAAAAGTGAAAAATCATTAAAATAGGAAATGGTTCTGGGTTTTTGGTACCAATCTTGACAATAATGAGCTTTGTGACAACACATATAATCTCTCTAGGCTTTTGTTTCATCAACCATAATATGCAAAGACTGAATTACATTATCTTCAAAGATCCTTTCTGCTCTAAATGAAAAACCATATAGTCTAATCCAATGATTTAAAGATGTTTATAGAGATACATTTATTATATTTTAAAATATTTTGCCACATATAAAATTTGGTTTTAAACTACTGGTCTGGAATACACTCTCCAAAAATAACACAATTTCTATGGTTATAAAGGACCTTTAAAATAGTTTTATGATGTGAATTATCAGAACATACAGTAACAATATTTTAATTTTGCATTAAACTACTGTTAAGGACAAAATATAAAGAAAACTGAAATACTTAGAATATATACATTAAAATTCTGAGTAACTGAACTATTTTTTTCTTCCTTTTCAGATCTAATTTAATATTACACTGTGAAGTGCACATTTTATCTTTCAAAGCTATTTCACAGTGTTTATACCCTAAAATGTACTGCATATCTGTAACAATTGCATAATTATGCAGGATTAAATGAATACTATTTTAATGCAGTAATCAGCATTCTGTTTATATTGAGAATATTTCTACTGTAATAAGTACTTTAACCAGTATTTTATTCCCAGAAGAGAAGTTAAATATTATGTAAATTTACCAAACATGTTTATTCAAAATGTCCATCAATGATAATTACTAATCCTTCCATAACTAAAGATTACTCCTAAAGTATATATATACATTTTACATTATGTCTTCAATGAATATAGTGATCATTAAATCAACCTCCTATGCATAAACCTCCCACCCTCTTTTATTTAACTCAAAGAACCACTAAGTGCTGAGCCAATATGATCACTGCCCAAATTTTCATGAGTGCTAAC